CCCCCCCCTCCTCCCCCTTTCGGACCCCAACCCATAATATTCCAGGAGCAAACCTGGGAAGGGAGATATTTAGGAATATCAGCCCCGGCTTTGGCCATTCGGTGGCTTTTTTTTTTTTTTTTTCGAAAACTCCTGACGTTTTGCAACATTGCATAAACATAAAACAATCCATCCTTGATATGGAATGCAAGGGCGGATGACAGCGCAGCGCAGCCCCCTCGGCTTCGATTGATTTACGCCGAGACTGACGCTTTATCAGGCACACGAAAAAAGTTTGACCAATCATTTCGCTGGGAGCTCACAACACAGCAGCCCAACTGTACTTTGTTGGCTGGGAAGTTGGAGAAGGGGGTAGAGTACAAATCTAGATCTGTCCTATATATGGTTTTTTTTTTTTCCCTTCACTGAACCGTGCTTTGTATGATGTCTGAGAATGTCCATTTCTGGGACTCTTAGCAATTATTATGTCGACTCCATTATAAGTCATGAGAGCGAAGACTCGCCTTCAGCTAAATTTTCGTCTGGGCAATATTCGAGTTCCAGGCAAGCTGGGCACAATGAGCATCTAGAATTCCCCTCCTGTAGTTTTCAGCCAAAACCTCCAGTTTTCAGCGCCTCCTGGACTCCTTTGAATCCACATTCTTCTGGTACCCTTCCTGCCGTCTACCATCCATATATTCAACATCAAAGCGTCCCATCTGAGAGCAGGTACCTCCGGAGCTGGCTGGATCCAGTACCCAGGGCAGAGAACCTCCCCGGGCAGGGGTCTGTTAAGGCAGAGCCGCTGCTGGGCCGTCCCGGGGATGTCCATAAACAGGGAACACAGGAGTACAATTTAGAAACTTCTGCTGCAAGGGAAGGGATCGTTTCCAATCAAAGGCCCAGCTTCGAGGACAATAAAGTTTGTGAAGGAAGCGAAGACAAAGACAGGACAGATCAAAGTAAGTTATAAAAGTGAGGAAGTAAACAGCATAAAAGCTGGAGGAGGTGCAATAAAAGGGGACAATGCTGCGTAAAGTTTAAAATCGGGGCTTAAAGAAAAGTCTCGGCTTTGCTGATGCCAACCTAAGGGGAGAGGTGGGGAGGGGAGAGGGGTGGCATTGTCTCTGCCGGGAAATAAAAATAAAAATAAAAATGAGCGTCGTCTCTGGGCTTAAACGGAGTCCAGAGCGGACAAAAGCTGGAGCGAGTCACCCTCTTTCCTCCAGAGCGCTGGCTCCGGCAGCAGAGACGCTTTAGTAAGCGGGAGGAAAGGCGCGGGTGCGGGAGCCGGGAAGGGAAGGGACGGGAAGGGAAGGGACGGGGGGAGCCGGGGAATGCTGGGGAGAAGGGAGAGGGGGAGAAGGAGGAGAAAGGGGGGAAAAGAGGCGAAATCGCCGAGGAAAAGTTCCCGTGTGTGGGGGGGAAGCGAAGAGCAGCGGGGCTTTGCCGTGCCCGGCGCATCAGCCCGGGGCCACCGCGCTCCCTCCGCGGCTCCTGCCGGGCTCTGCTGCCCCTGCCCGGCGTTCATTCCTCGCGCTGGCTCGTTCGTTTGTGGGTTTAATCGTTCGTTTATTAAACGCGACGACATTCCGGGTATGAATATTTCAAAGCCGCGCTCCTTCCTAGTTAAAAAAAAAAAAAAAAGAGAGAAGGGGGGCGCTTCCAACTTAATTAGCTTTTATATCAGCTTTTATTTGTGATGTAGCCAGATTGGGGAAACGCTTAAACTTCAGCACTGGCTTTTTCGGCGAGCTGGCTCGTCTTTTGCCCGTTGAAATATAGAAAAAGGCTCGTTCGCCTTGAAAATATTTAATAATGCCATCAGCAACGCGATTAATCGCGCTATTATTAATACTAATGATAATAACAGCGTTGCTAATGATAACAATGCGTTCGAGTGAGGAAGAATCGGTATCTGCACCTCGTGCCTGCCCGGCTGGTACCTGGTTTGCAGCTGGAAGGTGAAACCCGGGCAGGAGGAGAGAGGAAAACTTGGCTTCGCCCTCCCAGTAAAAATATTTCGCAGGGAAAGCCGAACTTTTCCCGACTGGCAGAGCAGGAGCCCCCGCCGAGGGTGGAACTCCTCGGAGCACGGGCCGCCCTGACATCCTCCTTCCCTTTGAATCCACGCCTGCTTTCTTTTCACTCGACGTGGAACAGCCACGGAGGTTTTGCCGTGGCAGCCACAGGATTAAAAACACAGAATATTCTGGCCCCCGTGATTTCCTCCCCTCCTTGTGCAGGATGTTAAAGTGACATTATTTTTTTTTTCCTATGGTTTAACTCGCGCACAGACACACACACACACACACACACACTCACACAAAAAGAAAGTCCTGTTCTATTGTGCTGGGCAGAGATCCAGAACAAACTGCAACCGTGAGGTGAATGATTGGAGGGAATTAAATCTCCAGGTCCTGTGCTCAATGTCCCTGAAATTGAATATATAAAAATCTTGTCCAAGAAGATGTTATTAAGTTATAAGTGAGTGCAGGGACCCGCGCGAGGAGGATGCTGTGTGGTTTCGATGGCGTGCGGTTACGGCGCATATTTTGTTTTAAATAATAGTTTAATTTGGGCTGATGGTGAGAGCCTGCCAGGGCTGGAAGACGAAGCTGTTTTGCAGAAAGTCCTCCCTCCGATTTCCCTGACTCTTTCCATTTTTGAGAGTATTTCTTCATAATGGATCTCTGCCCTGTGTATGGCGCAGGAATCTCTTAAATTATTTGCTGGATTTTAAGGAAAAGACGTGCCAGAACCGCTTCCCATTCGCTTTCCTGTTCAGGGATTTGTGTCTAGTGAGCAGATAAAGCAACGCTGGCATTTAAAATGTATTTTAACGATCCAAAATACGACCAAAAAAAATAAACCCAAACCGAATAAAAACCTGTTATGAAGCACGGCCCTCCATTGTCATTAAAGGATGGGTAGCAGGATTAACAGTATCAATTATTAACAGCTTTCTTCCTCTTTAATATTTAATTCTGCATATTAGATCAAGTCAATTACATTAAGGAAATAGCCGTGCAAATTTGTAAGAGGCAGTACTTACAGGGCAAGATTAACCGGATTATTTTTTAAAAAATATTCAATATATTTCATTTTACGTGGAGGAAACGTTGCAATGGCGTGTGTGTGTGTGTATTTATAATGGTCCATTTAATTGGTGTAAAGGTTTATGGCTTCAGTCATAATTTCAGAGGAGGCAAAGGAAATAAAATAGAAATACGTGGTGTGTCCGTAACCCTTCGTTTTACCCTTTCCCGCCTCTCAGTCACCCAACGGGCAGCCGATATTTGCATGTGATTAGTAAACGTTCCATTATTTACCCTAAACCCACTTCACCTCTGGGTGCGACCTTCGCCACTCTGCTGTCTGGGGGGGTGGCTTTGGCCCCAAAATGTTGGTTTTTTCCAGGACTAATCCCTGGAATGTCCTCTCTGCGAGATTCCCACGGAACTTCTCCCACCCGCGAGCGTGACGGGCGGCCCTTTATTTATTTTCTGGCTGCGTTTGCAGCCCTGCAAATGTCCGTGGCTCGGGGTGACACTGTCCAGACCTCCGGCAGCAGCGTCCCTGCAGCCCTCAGAGGATGTTTATTGTATCGAGACCCGTTTTTCTTTTTTTTTTTTTTTTGCCACAAAGCAGAAGAAAAAAAAAAAAAGGGCAGGATTTATAGGATTTATGAAAGGTTCCTCCAGCCCTCCTCTCTCTCTCTCTCTCTCTCTCTCTCTCTCTCTCTC